ATTCCTCTTCTTTGGGGTTTGGAGGTGCCCAGATGAGGCCCAGCTGTGAAGCAATGCAAGCTGCTGTGGGGCCTTGGGCCTACTTTTGGGTGTTCTGGGTCTCTCTGACCCAGCTGCAGTTTCTTAGGTAATTTTAGATTTAGTTGTTAAGTAATTTTAGATTTGCAAAGGGCCAGGCCATTCATATGCAAAAGCCTCTGCCCACAGCTTGGGTGGGGTGGGGTCTCAGGGAATCAACAGGGCAGAGCAAACAACTATGGCTGATCCTCAGCCCAGCCCTAAGAGGCCCCGGGTCTCAGTGTCCCGGTAATCGCTGCAAGCACCTCTGAGAGAAAGCCACCCTTGAGTTCTGCCCGATGCCAGACAGTCCAGTTTCTCCCTGTATGAGTCTGGGTCCCCAGAGACTCGCCCGAAACTGGCATTCAGAGCAGTCGGGAGCTTGTGACTCCCTCCCCATTGAAAAAAACAACCGTGTCCTCAGTTGCCAGCCCTTTCGCGTGCGCCTCCGTACCTCTGCACTTAACTTCCGCACCTCCTCTGAGTCTCAGTGTGCTTTTCTCTTTCCTTCTAGTTGTAGAATTTCCACTCAGCCAGCCTTCCTGTGGTTCTGGATGATGTCTGTTTTGTCTTTTAGTTGTATTTTTGAAGTGGTTGTGTGAGGCAGCAATTTCAGGTGTTTACTTATGCTGCCATCTTGGTTTCTCCTGTGCCCATTTTTTTGAATTGGGTTGTTTAGATTGTTGAATTGTAAAAGTTCATTATATATTGTGGATATTAATCCCTTATGAGATATATGATTTGCAAGTATTTTCTCACATTCTGTGAGTTATCTTTTCACTCTTGATAGTGTCCTTAGATTCACAAATGTTTTCAATTTTGATGAAGTCTAAATTATCTTTTTTTGTTGTTACCTATGCTCTTGGTGTGTAAGAGTCCATTGCCAAATTCAAGGTCATAAAGATTTACCCCTATGTTGTTTTTTAAAGAGTTCTAGCTTTTATATTTAGGATGTTGATCCATTTTGAGATAATTTTTATACAGGGTGTGAGACAGGGCTTCAACTTTACTCTTTTGTATGTGGATATCAAGTTGTCCCAGCACTATTTGATGAGAAGACTATTTTTCCTCCCAGTGAATGGTCCAGCATCTTGTAAAAAATCAACTGGCCATAAATAGTTGATTTATGTCTAGAATCACAATTCTATCCATAGGTCTTGGTCTATCCTATGCCTGTACCATACTGGCCTACCACATACATGGTCTAGACTGAATAATTCCCAATATGTACTTGAGAAAAACATATCTTCTTGATGAACTGACCTGTTTCAATACACAATGTCCTTCTTTGCCTCTTTTAAGAGTTTTTGCCTTAATGTCTATTTTGTCTAATGTTATTATGGCCAACTCAGCTCTCTTTTGGTTTCCTTTTGCATGAGATATTTTTCATTTTTTCACTTTCAACCCATTTATATATTTGGATCTCAAGTGAATATTATTGAGACAGCATATATGTGGACTTTTGGTGATACATTCTGTTTTAATTTCAGAGTTTAATTAATTTACATTTAAGGTAATTACTAATAAGGAAGAAAATATTTCTGCCATTTTGCTATTTGTTTTATGTATGTCACATCTTTTTTGTTCCTCAGTTCCTCCATATGGCTTTCTTTTGTGTTTGATTTTTTTTTTTTTGGTAGTATATCATTTCATTCCTTTCTCATTTGTATATATATATTTTTTGGTGATTACCCTCAGGACTACAATTAACCTCTTAAATTTATAACCAATCTATTTGAAATTAATACAATCTTAGCTTCAATAATATATAATAACTAAAGAATCGATGCATGAAATTCGTGCATGGGGGGCTGTTGGGGAGGTTCCTCAGCCTGGTCTGCGCCCTCTCGAAATCCGGAACCCCTCAGGGATGTCTGACTGCCAGTTTAGGCCCGATTGGGCCTAAACTGGTAGTGGGACATCCTTCTCACAATCCAGAACCCCTCGCTCCTAACCACCCATCTGCTCACTCCTTACAACTTGGCTCACCACTCCTTAGCGCTGCCGTGGAGGCAGGAGAGGCTCCCGCCACCACCGCTGCGCTCACCAGCTGTGAGCCCAGCTTCTGGCTGAGCAGCACTCCCGCTGTGGGAATGCACTGACCACCAGGGGGCAGCTCCTGCATTGAGCGTCTGCCCCCTGGTGGTCAGTGTGCATCATAGCAACCAGTCGTTCTGGTCATTCCAGTTGTTCCGCCTTAATGGTCGCTGGGCTTTTATATGTATAGATTCTGTTCCTAGACAGCTCCATCCCCAACTTTTTGTTGTCACAAAATACATCTTTATAATTGTGTGCCCATTAATCTATAACTATTGTTTTATGCATTTATATTTTAAACCATGTAGGAAAAAAGTTACAAACCCAAAATACAATAATACTGGCTTTTATATTTACCTACATAATTACTCTTATTGGTGTTCTTTATTCCTTCATAAAGCTTAAGTTACTATCTAGTCACATTTCAACCTAGAGAGCTATCTTTATCATTCCTTGTAGAACAGGTCTATTAGCAACAAACTCCTTCAGCTTTTGTTTAAATAGGAATGTTCTGATTTTTTCTTCATTTTTGAAGGACAGTTTTGCTGGATATAAAATTCTTTTTTTCTGCATATTTATTTTTTTCCTTTTTTTATTGTTTAAAGTATTACAAATAGTAGCACATATATCTCCTTTTTTCCCCCCAATTGACCTTCCCCCAGTTTTTTTTTCTTCTTATTGTTTAAAGTATTACAAATAGTAGTACATATGTCTCCTTTTCCCAATTGACCTTCCCCCAGCCTCCCCTACCCCCTGTCACATGCCCTCACCCCCCTCCCAGTGTCTTGTGTCCATTGGTTATGCTTATATGAATGCATACAAGTCCTTCGGTTGATCTCTTACCTCCCCCTGCTCCCCAACCCTCCCCAGCCTTCCTGCTGTTGTTTGACAGTCTGTTCGATGCTTCTCTGCCTATCTATTTTTGTTCATCAGTTTATAATGTTCTTTATTATCCATAAATGAGTGAGATCATGTGGTATTTTTCTTTCACTGACTGGCTTATTTCACTTAGCTTAATGCTCTCCAGTTCCAACCATGCTGTTGCAAATGGTAAGAATTCCTTCTTTTTTACAGC